TCTCAATTGCCCCTTAATTCCATCTGCGTAGCATGATTTGGGATTACCTGTTAACAGCCGAGCTAAAAACTTCAGCCCTTCAACCGAGCAATAACTTGGGGTGAAACCAACTCCCTGACTTAGTCAAAACCGAACTAAGAACACTGCACCATAAGCTTCAACCGGGCTACGAATCCCTCGTTCCACTTAGCCGAGAGAGGACTCCATTTTATTTCGCCTTTGTTTCTTTTAGCACGGTCCAACGATCCGTGCTTAATATTTTTCCTTTTCACTTTGCAGATTGACTAGGTTGGCCAGGTAAAACGTTACCAAACAGACCCTTATCATTTATTACTATTAAGTTATATTAATTATAAATCATTATTTATAATATATTATATTATCTTTAGTTTTTATTGGACGAATTATACTACCAGTCCCTATAGTTTGGGATTTGTATCACTTTGATTCCTAACTTTTCAATTGTGACACATTTGACCTTAAATTTTGAATCGTGTTCCAAATAAGAACAATTAGGGACCGTTTGGGAAATAGTTTTGGGGGCTTTTTTTGGCTATTTTAGTCACAAAAGAAAAAATATGCTATTTTAGCCACAACAAATAAAATATCACATCCAACCCATAATCATTACACTATTCTTTCACAAAAAAAGTCAAAAAAGCCAAAAAGCCAAAAAACTCTTCCCAGATCAAGTTTTTTAGCCCAGGCTAAAATAGCCAAAAAAGTCAAAAGTCAAAAAAGCCAACCCACTTCCCAAACCAACCCTAAAGATACCATTGCTCAATTTTAATGGCAAAGTTGTCAATTTGATAAAATATAAACTAATTTGACAAAAATAAATGTTAAAAATTATTTTTGAATTTTTAAAATTATTTTTGCCTACTGTACGGGCACGAAATATTCTTCCCGTATAATCCCGTTGATCAAGTCTGCGCTCCTCCGTATGTCGTCGTTTTACTCCCTGAAAACACAAACGTGAGCTAGCCGGCAGGTGTGTGCCGGATACCTCTCTGATGCCTAAGTCAGCAAAATAGACAAATAGACAAAAAGCTCTGTGTGTTTGGGAATCAAAGTTGTGTTACCTCTCCATAGGTGATGTTATGAGCTTTTATAGGTTCCGCGTGGCACAATCCAAGTAGGACTCTTACTCCTCCATGTAGAGTCCTCCTAGGAATCACATTCCTAAAAGATAATGCTTATCCTTCAACACCCCCCTCACTGCTTAAACCAAATGAGATGGTTTTACCACGGTTGGATGTCAATACGACCGAGCTACCATGACCATGCTAAAGCCACAGACTAGACCGAGCTCCAGCTAGCTTGGTTCTTCTTTTCACTGCGTGTACCTCGGTTTGACATACTCCAACTGTGGTGTTTACTTACTACCGTGCTAACCGTAGTAAACCCCTGACCAAGCTAATGATAGCTAGGTCCACCGCAAGAAGCCCAAATACCTTGGTTCTGAATACCCTGACCGAGATAACTACCTTTACTCCGTCTGGTGACTTTAATCACACTTGGACCGTGGTAACACTTGCCAATCCCTTTTCATATTTGGACTGAGCTAACTATGGCGCGCTAAGACCGCGCTAACCAAAGCGAGGTCCACAATGAGAAGCCATCATACCTTGGCTCCAAATACTACGACCAAGCTAACTATGGCGCGCTACGACCGTGGTGACCGTCATTACACTTGGACCGAGCTAACTATCTCCACTCCGACCGTGGTGACCATCATTATACTTGGACCGAGCTAACATTTGCGATCCACTTGTTAAGCTCTTCTTACCGTGGCTGACACCTATACCTCGGCTGACACCTTTATCTCGACTGACATCTTTACCTCGGCTAACATTGTGGTCAACCAAGTTGCTTCGGCTCTTCTCTCCGTTTGACTACCTTGCTTGGTAGCTCGGCCATAGCGTTGACCGCCACTAGGAAGTAGTTAAGTCCCGTAGCTAGGTCCCGTGGCTAGGTCCAATAACTTGGTCCCGTAGCTAGGTCTTGTAGCTCGGTCTTGTAGCTAGGTCCTGTAGCTAGGTCCCGTAGCTAGGTCCTATAAACATCTTTGACCGCCATTCCAACCTAGCTCGGCCCAATTTGGCTACGCAAATTACCCTCTCAATTGCCCCTTAATTTCATCTGCGTAGCATGATTTGGGATTACCTGTTAACAGCCAAGCTAAAAACTTCAGCCCTTCAACCGAGCAATAACTTGGGGCAGAACCAACTCCCTGACTTAGTCAAAATCGAACTAAGAATGCCGCACCATAAGCTTCAACCGGGCTACGAATCCCTTGTTTCACTTAGCCGAGCGAGGACTCCATTTAATTTCGCCTTTGTGTTCTTTTAGCACGTCAACGATCCGTGCTTTAAATATTTTTCCTTTTCACACTTTGCAGATTGACTAGGTTGGCCAGGTACACTTTGCATGCCTCAACTGTGATGAAGAGGCCCAGACGAAAAGACAACCGAACTTAGAAAAGTCGTCCGCCTTACCGAGCTCTTTCTTCAAATGTAGTGGAAGTCAGAATGATGGGCGGCAACATGGTTATAGGCCAAGAGACCGAGGTCTTCCTAAACCTTGCCTCCATATTTTATACCGAGCTCCATGGTGGATTATGCAAATGCCCATTCCAAAGCAAAAATTTTCTTCAGCTAAAGGAAGGTGTGCATACAAGAGCCTGAATAACAACCGCCCAGCTCGGTCCGCCAGTCATCTCTCCAACTCCAGTGGTCTCCATCACCCTTGCCGTTTTGTCTGATGCGGTGCCTTTCGACCAGACCTCAACCAAAGTGTGCCTTTGCCCATAAAGAGTCATACCTTTAGATGAGAGGTTAAATATAGGCGCCCGAATTTAGATGACCTCTTTGAAATGACCATGGTTAACTTTTCTTTTCTTTGGATGCTAACTTGGAAGCTTGTTGTAACCGAGCTGAGTCCCCAACTATTGGACCTTTTTCTTCCTGAGAATAACTATCTCGGTCCTACTTGCAATATAATTAATAGCTGCCAATCACTCTTTAGCTGAGATCCCTACCTCCGGCTGAAGAGTAACCAAAGAGTTGGTTTAGTCCAGCCGCCCACTTTTCAGCCGAGATCGTTACCTCGCTGAAGAGTACTAAAAGTTGAGTTTAATCCAGCCAACCACTGTCTTTAGCCCGAGATCATTACCTCCGGCGGAAGAGTACTAAGAGTTGGTTGTAATCCAGCCAACCACTTTTTAAGTCCGATATCCCTTATCTTCGGCTGAAGAGTAATTAAGTGTTGGTTGCAACCAGCCAACCACTCTTTAAACCGTATCCTTTACTTCGGCTGAAGAGTACTAAAGTGGTTGGTTTAATTCCAGCCACCATCTTTAGCCGAATCCTTTTCTTCGGCTGAAAGAGTACTAAGTATTGGTTTAATCCAGCCCAACCAACTCTTTTAGCCCGATAATCCTTTACTTCGGCAGAAGAGTACTAAGTGTTGGTTTAATCCAGCCAAACCTTAGATTTGGTTTTTTCAAGCCAACCCAGAGTAAAGTTGTTTTGGTTATTCCGACCAAATATCCTGGCAGCCTGGATCCTTATCCTGGCTTAGCAGGGCGTGTTGGTTTTTTTCCCAGCCAACCTAATAGATTGGTTTTCCAACTAACTCTAAAGTAAAGTGTTTCGGTTTATTCTGCCAAACTTCTTGATTCCCCGTCGCGGACAAAGACTTGTTGGTCAAACCTGCCAACTTTCTGGCAGCCTAGATATCCTTATCTCGGCTTAGGAGAGCTAATGTTGGTTTTCCGGCCAACATAGAGCTAAGCGTTTGGTTTATTCTCGCAAACTTGTTGATTGCCCCCCAATCCGGACAAGACTTGTTGGTCAACCTGCAACTTCCTGAGCCTAGATTATCCTTATCACTCGTCCTTAGGAGAGGTTTAAGTGTTGATTTTTTCCAGCCAACTTTGCCTTTTAATGCCCTAGTCGTAAAGAACAACTTTTACAAAAGAAAACAATCTCTGGAAAAGGAAACTACTTGTTTTAATTGAGGAAAAAGAAAAATTAACA